GGAGAAGAAGAAGAGAAGGAGAAGGAGAATTAGCTCCTCCTCGATACCGTCGGAGTTCTTCCCGCTGCCTGAATAACGCCGGAATTCTGTCGGATATTCGGGTGACGCCAGAACTCTGCACAACTTTGTAACTAAATTTCAATTCAGAAGAAACTCATTGTAATCTGATCGTCCTAACTTGTGGGACGAATCAACCACTTGTATCTCAAACTACATTAGTGGAACTTTTCAACAAGGCGTGGCCCCGTGGTTTTTCCCCTTTTCAGAGTTTTCCACGTAAAAATCTTGGTGTTCTCTTATCTTCTGTTTGTGTGTGCTAGATAATCGTGCAACGCTCAGACGAAAATTTTCTAACTCTACCGCCGCGTATATTCTAGTCCGCAACAATTATATTATTATTTTATTAAAATATCTTAAAGCATTATAAACTTTACTTTATCCCTCTTATCTCATTCGTTTGGCTGAACAAAAAAATAGAAAAAAAAAAGAAGAATAAGAGAGAAAGAGAGGAGAAAGAAAACAAAAGCTTAGATTTGGAGTCCGTAGAGAAATTTTCATCCGTTGATTCTATTAAGAGATTTGCTCAACTCATTATAAGGAATCATTATCCTATTTTTAATTTCAATAATTTTGTATATTTCATTTGTTTCGATCAAATTTGTTTTTTCATTGCCGAACAACAAAGATCATTTTGTATTGATAAAACTTTTACCAAATAACTTCTGATATGTAATAATATTTTTTATATAAGCATTTTGACAGGAACATATTGAATTTTTACATGTTAAATTAGAAGTTATAATTTTTTGAAGTAAATGCATAGTAGATAAATTTGTTAGATTTCCCTGCAATTTTTATTATTATATTTCATATTTGATATTGACTCACATGACAAAAAAATATAACATTTGCATGTAAGAAAAGAAGGTTAACTGTTAATACTATAACAAATACAGGTTGTCTCTTAGAACATAATATCCTGAGTAAGAAGGATGAGCCGACGGGCTTTCCTTTAAATAAAAAATTGGTGATATAATCCTAGTTTTAGCTTGTAATCGATTGATCAAATTACGCTGACGGGTAGAGGGTGACGACTCTTAAATGATCATTGAAAGCCAACTGTGAAAATAAATAAATAATATAAAATAAGATTGACAGATTAATAGTTATAATATATAACAGATATAAAGAAGAAAACACCACATTAAAGCAGCATGTCATGCCTTGCTTTTCATAATTATACTCATGATGATATTTTTATGATAGTATATTAAATTGATTGATAAATATAACTGAACTTATACTATAATTAATATTGATATAACATAAGATAGCATACTAGCATGATTTATTGAGTGACAGTCTTCTTTAATAATTTTTCTTATATTTTGATAGTTAAAAGATCTCTTTTGACTTTGCTAATCATATTAATTTTATTATTGATTTTTGATATTTTTATTGTTTATATTAAGTGATGATTGACATTCATTATAAACGAACATACATATTAATTCTCTTGATTTGCATTGAAAGCAGTGATAGAATTTTGATTACTTGCCGGGATTTTATGCTCATTACGTGAATTTTTATGAATTTAGGTCAGGGAAGAGATCAAAACCAGTTCGAATGAGATTGATAGAGATATTCAGGTTTTCTTTTGATTTTGTTTATATTTTCCCTCATTCTTTTATAGCCAGTAATTTGTGATAAAGTAATAATTGTACTAGTCTCCTGGCTATTGTATATTGATTTTGAGAGAATTGATATAGTGCAATATTTTAAAGTATGTAATTGTTAGTTGCTTTCACTGGATATAAATTTATTATTTTGATGATTTATAGAAGCTTTGGTTGGTTAATTAAGAAGATAAAATATATAATTCTTCTAAATTTAAATCTAGGGCGCCACAATTAGTATCATAGTAAGGTTGTTGGAAGAATTGAAATGTAACCAGAGCTATGAGCGTTGATTATGAGCAGGGTAGAAGTTAGATAATATAGATTTTTATGTCTGCATTTGATCGAATTGCATATGTATGCATGTTTTGTTTGTGTATTATTGATTAGGAATGAGAATTTTATCAATTGATAGATGGACCATACTGATCAGAATGTACAAAATGGATAGAGAGCGACAGTAATTTCAATGAGTTCTGACAGTTTGATGCAACCAGTTAGCATACTTGCACATGCTATGAGTGATGCTCAGAGTAGACAGTTGGGACACAAAGAGTTAGAAGGGTACAAAAATCTACATATGTTCCATAAGTTGAAGCTCCCATTGTTTAAGGGAGCTAAAGAGCCACATATAGCAGAGGACCTGGTTGTTGAGGATAGAGAAGATAATTGACAGCATGGAATGCCCAGATAATCAAAAAGTACAACTTGCAGTTTTCTTATTTGAATGAGAAGCAGAGAAATGGTGGATAAGATAACAATAGGAGAAATTTTAGGGCAAGATGAATGCGGAGATTTCTTGGGCAGAGTTTGTTGTTATTTTCAAAGATTGGTTCGTACCTCCGTCAACCCGATAGCAAATGCATGAGGCTTTCATGAGATTAGAGAAGAGGAACAGGATAGTGATGCAGCAGGAGGCGAAGTTTACTACACCGGAAAGGTATGCACCACAATTGATTAATATAACAGAGGACAAATACTATAAATTCTTGAGAGGACTACGAGATGAATTGAAACATCCACTTGCACCCGTATGACCTAGAGTTTGCAATCTAATCTAGCAAAATGATAGAGATGCACGTGGAGGATCCACTCGTAACATTTTAATTCATATAGTTATAATTGGATTTGAATGGATTGATTGATAGTTATTTCATGGTATATTGAGTAATTGAATGACATATATAAGTGTGATTGCTTGAGTAAATTTATGATTAATTGAATGCAACAAATAATGAGTCAGTGATCAGTACTAATTTTAAATGAAATTAAATGGATTTCTTAATTTTGAATTGTATTGATTTATTTTGAATTTATGTTATTTTATTGATTTGCCTAATTATTTTTATATGTTTGATAAGAACCCCCTTATTCTTGCCTGTAAACTAGTTTTGTATGCACTATGAATTTCCTGCCCCTGCTCATAGATGAATAGTAGTGTTCTTTGCAAGTTGATTGATATTTCTCATAAGCGAGTAATATTCATTGTCACTTCTCTGTTATCACTTGTAGGCGAGTTAATATATTCGTTATAAGCCCTTATTTTTGCTCGTGGCAAGTAGTTATGTTTACAAGTCCTCTGCTCATGCCTGTAGGTGGACTGCCTTTAGTGCAAATCCTTTAACATTGCCTGAGACGGGCTATAGTGGCAGTAGTGCATTTTATACATCTCCTTTCTATGCCTATAGGCAAGTTATTACATACACCATGAGTTTCTAGTGCCTTCCTGTAGGCAGGTCGCTATGATCATTGCAAGTACCTCATCCTTATAAGCAAATTATTTTGTTCATAGAAGCCCCTTAGTTAATTGTAGGCAAGCTGTCATATTCCAAATTCTTTATTCATGCCCGTAGGCAAGTTAATCCCCTGCTTAGCTTTTTAACTTTATGAATTTTATTTAGTTATAAGTTAACTTAAATGTTCATTAAGGTTAAAAAAAAAAGTTCATTGAGGTTCGGTTCCATGTAAGTTTATTAAAGTCGTTCTTTCATTGAATTTTTAACTGTGCAGGTCGTACTGATGTGATGCAATGAAGAGTTACACAAGAATTTACTACCCTCAGGGGTAAAATGGGAAACTACGAAAATAAAAGCATAATATAAAAAAAACTGATGGTACAAGTAAAATCAATAATAAAGGCTCGCAATCATGGTCGTCGATCTCCGTGGTCGTCTCTGATGGACGCGCCGAAATCTCCTATCGATGACCTCATCACGTACATAAATTTCTAAGTCCAATAATAGTTCAAATAAAATTTTGGCAGCCTATTGTCGCCTCGTAATTCATGCCAATTTTGCATTTTCACTCATGCAAAGACCCATGCAATATTATAGCCATTTCTTGATATTCCGACGTTTCAAACTCAACGACGAAATCTGTTTTATGAATGAACATCGTTTGTGCAATGTCGCATATCATCATGTCTATAGATAGTTGATGTTGATCACCTTTGTTCAAACCAATTGTTAGGGGTTCCCCTAAGTTAAATTTGATGTTCTGATGCAATGGCGCATTCCATTTAACGATCAGAGGTGATTCAGGTAATTTTATGTGGCCTCGTGCTTGCCAATAGATATGCTCATTGTCATTTTCAATTGAGTTGTGCATGAATGACTCTTATTTGGCATATTCAATGTCCAAAGTGCATCGATGCAATCTATTTCACGATCAAATAAAATTTTGAGTTATTTTGGTAGTGATCGAGGCTTTTCGATGCTCGTGTTGAGTGACATATCTGTAAGTCTCCTTCCTCGACGCACTTGATTGATCGTGGAACATGTATAGAAGTCAACAATGTAGTAGTAATAAAGTCACACAAGTGTGCAGGAGTCCAAGCAGGGATGAGTATATGGAGGAGGTTACTAGTGGAGGTCACACGTATATTGATAGATGAGAGGGTATATAATGGGAACATGTGCCCTAGGAAGAAAATGAGGGTGGCAGCTAGATTGGAGAGAGGGAGTAACGGATCTATTGGTTTGATACCATATCAAATTTTGAATTACCCATTCCTCGTTGAATTAATGAAATATAAGATACAGGATTTGATTTAGATAGGTCACAGTAATCCTACTATACATCACGCCAAGCCAAGTAAATGCACTTCAATTAGTTAAAGAGAATATTGACAAAGCAGGAAACTAAAAAAATTAATTATAATGAAAGCATTCAATTTTTTGCATTTGGCCCTCAATCCTAGCTCAGCTACTTTCTCATCCAATAACAGTGAGATACTACTCAATGCCAATTTTAAATGCAAAATATGACAGGAGCATAAAAAAAGATTGTGAATTGGTAATAATAGGACTGAGATGAGAAACCTACAATTATCAGTAGCCGAACTGGTATATTCATTTCTGCTTTCAGATTCTAAGGGAGGCCTCAGACATTCAGGCGCTCTAAAATGCAGCCCCAAAAGCATGCTATAATCAATAATACACTGTGATTCTAGGAACATGCAATCCAGAGAAATTTGTCTGCAAAAAGAAAAAAAAGCAAATTGAAAAATAATATCATACTTAAAAGCTAAAACAAACAAGAAAGTTCACACTCTATCAGCATGAGTTCGTGAATGTTACATGCAAGACCATGAGTCTAGAAAAACATATCAAAGAACACCGAAGGATGAAAAATAAAACCTTCATTACAAATGAAACCCCAGAAGGAACTAATTGCCTATGTAGCACAAAACCTATCAAATCACTGCAAAAATTAAGTACTAATCAAAACTTTACTTCCCTTTAGTTAGATGCAATAAGAAAATAAATAAAATGTCATTTACTATCTATAAAGTAGGCACTGGAAATGTGATTCATCAAAAGATTCTTGAAAGTTACAATTTATGCAATTATTTTTTTCCGCCATAACAACCATTACTTTAGAATTCTAAGTTATAAACAATATTATGTACATCTAAGCTAATTCGACCTCATCAAAGCCAAAATGCCGGCAACTATGGCTTAAAAAATTATTCGGCTGCAATGCTTAAGAAGTTAAGATTTTCTTTTATCAACGATGTTTCTGAAATACTTGTCAAGTCTGTCCCCCTCATCACTTAGCAAATTTGGTTCTTTTTTACGAATCTTTAATTATCCAAAAAATTAAAAAATGAATTAAACTGGAGATTTGTGATTCTAAGGACTCTTTGCAACACATTGGTAAGCCTGTGTACCCCATTCTATCCCGAACTAATGCTAGGATTATAATAATTTTCGAAAAGAGGTTCTAAATACTAATGCACAATTTTTAAGATTTATATATAACTAATGTTAGGTATAATAATTAAATTACAAATTTTGTAATTTATGCATATAGAGACTTTCTAATCATATATTCAAATGAATTTTCATTGGATTGAAGTTTAGATAATCAAACACTAATTTGTAAATGAAGAAGTATAGTAAAAAAATGAATTTCAGAGTGTATTTTACATTAGATATAGAATGTACTCAAACTACTTCAATTGTAGGGTTTGATTTAGAGGTTATAATAAGGTTTGATGAGATGGTTCTTTTAAAGAACATGAGTTAGTTAAATCTCCATCTCTAAAATGGAATGAAAGTCAAATAGTTCCTACAAGTCCTCTATGATGGCTATGATATTTATCCATCAAAATAGAATGAGATCAATCTATTTAGGCTTAATCAAATTTAGTTTGTATAATAGATAATGCTAGAATCCAACCGTTCCCAGTGCAAAGGATCCGACGAACACAGAGATCAATCCGTGGGATGCTCTCATGGATCACGCCATGTTGAAATCCAGCCGTTCCCGGTGCAAAGGATCCGACGGACACAGAGATCAATCCGTGGGATGCTCTCATGGATCACGCCAGAATGAATGAATGAATTTAGGAAAGATTTTTATTAGAAAATTTATGTAATGTATTATTTCCTCGTTAAGATATCTTGTATAGATCTATAAATATGGAAGATATTAATGAATAAAGTCAAGGTTTTTCTTCTCAAATCTCTAGTTTTAACATGGTATCAGAGCCAACGGCCTTAGTTGCCGTCGAAGAACGATCCTAGATCATCAGAGGAGGAAGAGAAAAGAAACTTGATCGTCGGAGGAGTCTTGATCGCGGCCGGCCGTATACGGCGGACGGGACGGGCGACTCAATCGAACTTCCGATCGGAATGGAAGATAGTCGAATAGCCACGAACGAGCCAAAGGAGCCACGCGCACAATCTCTACGCCTCCTACTAAGCAACGACACCGAGGCTCAGCCGATCAAGTCTTAGAGAGAAGCCGGTCGGAGAAACGGCCGAAGAAGAACGCTTGCGGACGGACAAAGGAGCGGACGGCGAGCATCCTGATCCGATAGGGAGGGAAGATCGTCGAATGAGCTAAGCGAATGCTCGAGCTCCTGAGATCCTGATCTTCGTACATGCCCTAAGCTATCCGGTCCAACTCTTTTAAAGAGTCAGCGGCTCGGTTTTATTAAACCGGGAAGGTATTCCCACCAAAAAAAAAATCGACCTTCATTGTCGGACAGAAAAAAAAAATCGTCAGAAGCATTCATTGCTACCCAATGTCTGAAATTAATTCCTCCCAGAGCATTGAGCAAAATGAGGAGTCAATGGTGCACCAAGGACGAGGTGATCTCCAAAGCATACAACCTTCCTATCGTCTAAATGGGAAGAACTATCTAAAGTGGTCTCAATTTGTGAAGACCTACTTGAAGGGGAAAGGAAAAATACATCACCTCCTTGGAGGAGGACCAAAAGAAGGAGATCCTAAATTTGGGGCATGGGATGAAACAAACTCCATGATTATGTCATGGTTGTGGAATTCCATGACTCCAGAAATTAGCGATACATTTATGTTCCTTTCAACTGCAAAGGACATATGGGATACTGCCAGACAGACCTTCTCCAAAGCTTGTGATGCAGCTCAAATCTTTGAAATTAAAGTCAAAGTTGGAATCACAAAGCAAGAAAGTAAGACTGTGACGGAGTATGCCACCCTTCTACAAAATCTATGGCAGGAACTCGATCACTATAGATGCATAGAAACCAAATGTCCGGAAGATGCAGCGATCCTAAAGAACTTTATTGAAAAAGATAGAGTTTATGATTTTCTTGCAGGGCTAAATGCAGAATTTGATCAAGTTAGATTCCAGATCCTCTGCAAAGAAGAGAAGCCATCACTCAATGAAACCATTTTTCTCATCCGCGCAGAAGAAAGCCGACGAGGAGTGATGCTAGAACCAAAGGTCGTTGAAAGTTTAGCAATGGTGATGAGCAAAGAACCATGGAAGGAAAAAGGTAAAGATTTCTCAAAATACAAAGACAAAGACTCACTTTGGTGTAGTTATTGCAAGAAATCAAGACACACAAAGGAAGATTGCTGGAAGATAAATGGAAAACCCCCTAGTAAGGAGTGGAATCAAAGAACTGAAACAAGTCAGCCTAACCCAGAAGCACAGTCAAGTCTTGGAGAATTCAATAAAGAAGATATTGATAAACTGAGACGACTCCTGATATCTCTTGAAAAATCAAATGCATCCTCTTCACTTGCAATCACAGGACCAGAAATCGGGGAAGACGATTGGACGTGCTAAGGAGAGAACTGGATTGTATCACCAAGAAGAACAGTACAAAGTTCCCACTATCAGCCTTCATTGCTGATCAGATCAGCCTTTATTGCTGACATCAGCCTTTATTGCTGATCAAATCAGCCTTTATTGCTAACATGATAAAATCAGCCTTCATTGCTGATCAAATCAGCCTTTATTGCTAACATCAGCCTTTATTGCTGATCAAATCAACCTTTATTGCTAGAAACCTGAGGAATACAAAATTCTCACAACCGGCCTTCATTGCCAAAACTCTAAGGAATACTACTCTTTCAACCGGCCTTCATTGTCGGAATTTTGAGGATAGGTTCCCATCACCAGCCTTCATTGCCAGCTTTCTCTTGTAGTTGATATCCTATCTATAACCAATGCAGCCTTCATTGCTACCCTGTTTGATATAGCCTTCATCACTATCATTTGCCGCTGTCACAATATCTGAAGCTAATTTTCCATAAAGTATGACCAAAATAGAGGGCTCTATGGTAACTCTACTTTGTGTGATTAATTACCAAGCTGGTAATGACATATGTATTACCAGCTTGAGGGGAGTGTTAGAATCCAACCGTTCCCAGTGCAAAGGATCCGACGAATACAGAGATCAATCCGTGGGATACTCTCATGGATCACGCCATGTTGAAATCCAGCCGTTCCCAGTGCAAAGGATCCGACGGACACAGAGATCAATCCGTGGGATGCTCTCATGGATCACGCCAGAATGAAGGAATGAATTTAGGAAAGATTTTTATTAGAAATTTTATGTAATGTATTATTTCCTCATTAAGATATCTTGTATAGATCTATAAATAGGGAAGATAGTAATGAATAAAGTCAAGGCTTTTCTTCTCAAATCTCTAGTTTTAACAGATAATAACTTAAGTATGATCTTTATTAAGTGTAAGTTAATTTGTAGAGTTGGATTATGGCGAACTACATTTAAAATAATATAAATAAGTGTATTTAGGTATTTAAATAAACATCTAAAGATATATGCATTATTATGGTGTAACTTAAGGTCATGATATAATGGCAATCATTAGAGTGTGGTTTATATTACATTAGAATTATGAAAATAAGAAATAGGAATAATGTTGGCCTATGAGTGCTATTTAAATATGAGATTTAAGAAGACATGTAGATGTTTGATATAAGTATAAATTCTAAGAAAGTGGTATAACTCGAGTTATGTGCTTAACCCTATGTATAGTTTATAAGTTTGGTTCATAGTTGAAGTCCGAGGCCAAGTTCAAGAAATACCAAGCTAGCTATTCTAAGATCTTGAGGCTTTAAGGTGATTCCAAGGTTTTAGCCCGAAATCTAAGAAGCTAAGGTTAATTATTTCTATTCTAAATTGGAGTAATGTTTCATTTCTCCTAAAAATGATGAATTTAATTATATTTATGATTCTTCCTCCTTTCCATGTATGAGATAATGTTATTGCCTGCAATACAATGATTTATTTTATCAATGCAAGTGATATTCATGTTGCAAAGAATGATGAGTAGGTTTCATGTTATGTTTCAACTACTTGTGAAAACCTTATATTTTACAATGCAATGTTCCTTCAAACGTATCATAAAAAGTTATTTATATGCTAGATATGCTATTCCAGAATATATGTACAAATCTCAATTTGTGTATGAACAGTTTCATGTTTAACAAAATGTTATGGTTTAGGGGCTCTTCTGTAATGCTAAAAGTCTTAATTGAAATTATTTTAAATTCTTTTAAAGTTCTAAGAAAGTATACCAAGCTCCAAACTTCCCTCCGACCATCTACTACTCCCTTACCGCTTCGAGCTCCAAGGTCGAATCGTGACAAATTATTAGTATATTTAAACAAATATTTAATATTCATTTATCTCATTTCTTTATCTTTTCCTCTCTTAATCTAATTATTTCCTCCTACAATTACATTATAGGAAAATTATATGTGATCATTATTAAATATTTATTGAATTCCCTCGTTATGATTATTGTTTGACAGGATTTGTTTATTAGAAAAGTGCATCAAGTAGTTGCCTAGCATAAAATAATAATATTTTGGAAAGTAATAACCAAATATTGTGTAATAACAACTAGATTAAGAGAGGGAGGCACCAAGATAGGGCTTGGGTAGGATTGAAATCTACGGATAACAGGACTATGGCTCATGATATGTGTCAGAAGGTACATAAGGGTATATTTAGTATTGCAAATAGTTACATGATAAGATTCAAAAAATTGAAATCGAATAGGATTAAATAAATCAAAGAGCTAAAAATAAATCAAAATAAAATCAAGGATCCCAGATTAATTTCCCTAATAAGTTAACTCATTTAAGCAAACTCAAATAGTAATAAATGATGAATGAGAATTCATAACCCTATTAATTTAGCAAAACTTATAGTAATGTTGATAATGATTAATTGTAATAATAAAAAATATGAAAGTGAACAATTTAACAAAGAACAAATCCTAATTAGTGATTTAGTTTTAACAAATTACTAAGAAAATATTAGTGCCTATCAATATATATTTTTCTTAGTTGTCTAATAGAACATAATCTAAATAGTATTCCCTTCAAATGTATTGTCTAAATAGCCCTTCCTTCAAATGTATTAAAGATTTACAAAGAGGTTACCGGTCAATATCAAAGTTTGGGCCAAGTTAAATGTAATGAATTCCTCAGATCTTCTGAGTTTTGCTAATCCGGAGTAATTTAAATATACTTGCTGACAAGCAAGCAGATTGGGACTAATTAACATTGCAACTGTGATATAACTTGAACAACGTCATAAATAACAAAAACTTGCTTGGATAGTACAATTTCACAAACAAATGGAAAAAACAGTACTTATAAAAAATGGTCAATATATTAGGAAAGCATTGTAAATTTCTTGAAAACAACGAAGGTGACAAAGACCTGCATGGATTTATAGGAAAGAGAAAAGAAAATACATATGTTCGCATCACTTAAAAAAAAAAAATAGAAAGAAAGAGTAAACTCCATTAAGCAATTCCCATGTCAAAAAATATTGTGGTCATTCTCTCTAACTTTTATATCAAGTAAATATGTAGCTGGACAATGTACACATATTCAATTATATTCCTTGAAATAACTCCTAGGTGCAGTTTACCAGTAGAAGTGCAATGATGTTGGAATTTACAATAAATAGGATGCCTAGAATGGTTTACACTAAAAAAAGGAGCCGATGTAATAAAGAACTCACTTGAAAAGTGACTCACGCCAGGATTTCTCCAAATGGAAAACATAAGACAGATCAAGATCTTTGAGAGTTGTGTTCTCGTTTATCTTATCAGCACTTGTTGATCTTCCATGAGAGGAACCTTTCAGATCATACCGGCGATGAATACGTAGTTCTGTGCAAAACATGTTGCCCATCACAACAAATCGAACCTGTGGAAGGGAACCCTCAGTGGCAGACTTTCGGAACTAAGATAGATCTAATACATTTAGCAATTAAATACCTTCTGTCCGCATTTTATTGTAATCCTGTGCAGCCCAAAAAATTTGGTTATGAGTGTATTATCATGAGCTCCAACGTGATCATAATACTTGGGGAGCATTTTCAGTAGAACCTGAAAGAGCAGCAATTCTTATTAATGCATCCCTTAATCCAATCTTACTAATCTTTTTAAGAAAAGTTCTGCATAAATATCGTGACTCTTTCACAATAGTAGTTCAAGTGGTTAGACAACTATTTAGATTTTGTTATAGCGTTTTTAAGACAATCATGAGTGTTAGGACTAGAAAAGAGTCACCAACAGCCAGATTACATGTGCAGGAAATAAAAATGATATGACGGATGCAAGATAAATCATTTTATTAAGAATGATGATATTGCAAAAATGGCGTGAGTGGCACCTTTTGAAGATGACATGGTAAATATGGTTGTTTGGACATGTATAATGGAAATGGAAACAAAAACACAAGAATGAACTCAGCACAATAACAAGATACCCCAACCCTAACCCCTCTCCTCTATTTATAGCATACAAAAATCTCAATTATTATTTAGCCTTTCTCCTAAATAAGATCATACCTAAATAGCCACCAATCAGTCGATATGTCATAGCTCCAATTCTTTCTTCTATCTCAAAGGGGCAAAAGTACCACGGGGCCAACTTCTCATTCCTCCTAATAGTCATTGTCTGCTGCCTCTAGGGGCGAAGCTTCAGATACACCCTATCCCCTATCTCAAACTGGATGCCCTTCCTGTGCTCATCCGCTTGCCTTTTCAGTTCCTCTAGTGTTTTGTACTTTTCTTCCAAGTACTACTTTATTGAAAAAAACTAATGTGCTATTTTGCCCAAAGTGTACCAAGTGAGGTGGATCACTGTCGTACAACACTTTGAAAGGAGTCATCTAGGACGCTAAATGGTACGAAGTGTTGTACCAGTATTCCGCCCATGCCAGCTACTTAACCCACAATCGAGGTGTCTCTGAAGCAAAGCATCGCATGTACTCCAAGCTCCTATTGACCAACTCTGTATATCCATCCGTCTAAGAGTGATAAGCGATGTTCCTTTTCAGTACCGGCCCCTATAACCTGAACAATTCTCTCTAAAAGTGACTGAAGAATACCTTGCTCAATATGATACTATAGACTCGAGTATCCTGTGCAATATGACCACCTCTCTTATAAAATCCACCGCCACTGTAACTCTCGTGTAAGGATGTCGTGAAATGAGCATATTTGTTGAATTGGTCCATCACTACCAGAATAATCGTAAACCCCTCTGATCGTGATAGCCCATCTATGAAATCCATAGAGACATCTTCCCATACTATGCCTAGGAGTGCCAATGGCTATAGTAACCCTCTTGGATCCATAGTCATATAATTGTTCCTCTAGTAAACCTCACACCTGGCCACCATTTCCTCTACGTCCTTGTGTATTCCTTTCTAATATAATTCAGCATCCAGTCTCCTATATCTTCTGTACACCTCAGTGACCCCCAACAGCACTCCCGTAAAACTCTTGTAGAAAGTGTGAGTAACACAAACTGATGGGGACATCAGATTACGACACATGTAACTTCAATAGATGCCGGAGATCGACGGCCACGATCATGATCTTTATTTTCATCATTTTATGTAGTAGTTTGATTTTATTTTATGTTTTTTCCGTTTTTGCCCTTATGGGTATTTGGTAGCTATTGTAGCCCAAGGGGCATTTTAGTCTTTTATTTTTCTTTGTCATTGTGAGGCCTATTTATATGACCCTTCTCTTGTAATAGTGGTGGATGAATTATTGAAATGAAATTTTCTTATGTTTTGTCCTCTTTGTGAGTTCAATATCGTAGAGATCTCTTAGTGAGTTCTTTGTGAGCTCTTTGTGAGTTCACTTGTAGAAATCAACCAAGGCTTGAGATCTCTAGTCTCTTGTCTCTCCGCCACCAAAGACCCCAAGTAGAGAAGAGGAAGCAAGAAGCCAAGCTCCTATTGCCGCCGTCCCTAGATCCACCCGCCGGCCACCATAGCCTCGTCGGCCGGCCACCTTGCCGTCGGCCTCCTTCCCGTTCCACCACCTCCCCACATCCCCTCACCTACTTCTCATTGAAATTTGAAATTTGAAATTTCAATTTCTTTCCAAATTTGGAAAATTCTATTTTTGGAAAGTTTTTTAATGAATCCAAATTAATTAAGTTTAAAATTGATTTGGATTTTATTTCATATTTTCCTAGTCATCATTTTATATTTGGAAAATCCCCTCCCTCTCTCCATAACTCCCTCTCTCTCCCTAGTCATGCCGCCGGCCCCCCAATCTTGCTTCCCATTAATTACCCAATTAACTCCCTAATCCTATTTGAAATTCAAATTAGGATCAATTATTTTTCCCTCCCCTTGCATAAAAACTGAAATAATTTCAGTTTTAAGCTCTCTCTCCCCCTTCTCTCTACCGCCGGCTCCCCCTTTCTCTCTCTCCCATTGAATGATCATTAATTCCCCTCTTTAATTTGGGATTTCAAATTTAAAATTCCAAAATTTTCCCTCCTAAATCCTTTGAAACTGAAATCAATTTCAGTTTCTCAACCTAATCCCTCTCCTCTCCCCTAGATCCACCGCCGGCCCCTTCCTCCCCTCCAAACCGGCCCCTCTCTTCTCTCTTGGTTCATTGAGGGGATTGCTCGTCTTCAAGTTCATGGTGCATGGCGGATCCCGCCGTTGACTACGGAATCGAACTCGACACCTACGGACACATTCACGTCCTTAGATCGCCTTTCTTTGACGTGGGTTTTGGCTTCGACAATACCGTCGAAGATTACTTGGATCGGATCTTACCGACACTAGTGGACGCCTTCGACGACCAATTCTCCGACTGCACGTGGATCATCGAAAGTCATCTGCCCGCTTCTCCAACTCCCACTTCCTCCCCAGCGACGAGTCCTCTTGGCATCACATGTGTCTTAGTGGTATCGCTAAGTTTTCTTGCAACCCTCTTCCGCTAACCTCCACTTCAAAGAGAGATTGTCGGACCTCAAGGTGAATGGTCTAAACTTTAAACATGTGGCTTTAGTGAAAGCTATTAGCATTATTTAGTTATCTTTTGGTTATCTTTTGCAAGACTCTTGTAACTCTCAAGTGTAGTCAATGCCTACCGCTTAATCTCTCACGAATTTTCTTGAATCCTAATTGAGTAAGCTAAATTTTATTGTTAATGTAGCAAAGTTAAAGTTTTCACTAATCTCTAAATTGCAATTCATGTTTCTCCATGTTTGTATCACATCACAAACCTTCCGTGGTATAAAAGTCTCTCCCCATCTAGGGAATAGCCAGTATAGATACTCTCATCCTTCAGCAGATCCTCCTTGATTCTTCTTAGCCACTGGTCCTACGCACTTTTTTTCCTTAATGGCTCCCCAATCCAACATCGGTGGTATCGAAAGGGCCAACTCTTGGAGTTCCCCCATGTGCCTGGACAAGGTGTCAGCTGCCTTATTTTTCAACCCTAGCCTATAATGGATCTCAACATCATAGCTCAACAACTTTGACAGCCATCTCTATTGTTCCTCAATCACTATCCTCTACTCCATGTACTTCAGACTCCGCTGGTCAGTTCTGATAATGAAGTGTCGACCTAGCAAGTACGGCCATCACTTCTGAATAGTCAATACAATGGCCATTAATTTTCACTCATAGAATGACTTCAATCTAGCTCTAGCTTACAACACATGGTTGAAATAGGCTATGGGTCTATGATTTTGCATGAGTATTTCCCCCAACCCATATCCTGAGGAGGCATTAGTCTCCACCACGAATACCTGACTAAAATCGGGTAGTGCTAGAACATAAATGGTGGTCATGGCCATCTTCAATCTCTTTAAGGCTTGAGTAGTTGCCTCTCCCCACAAGAAGTCCTTCAGCTGCTTTGTCAAAGGCCAAGCTATGGTACTTAGAGGTGTAAGTGAGCCAAGCCGGCTCGCGAGCTGGCTAGAGCTCGACTCGTTTATGGGCTCGCAAGTCGAGCTTATCGAGCTTATGAGTCGAGCTCGAGCTCGAGTTCGAGCTTGACGAAGCTCAGCTCTTGAGCCCCGCGAGCCGGCTCGAACTACTGTTTAATTTTTTTTAAATCAAATATTCAACAACAGCTTATTAAAAATATTTTAAAACACAATATCAATAAATGATAATAAATGAAAAGCAGCTTTTGAATTATAAAATAATAAAACTTTTTTTCAATATATATATATATATAATCTAAAAGCTGCTGAAGAAAAGCTGCTTTTTTCTTTTCTAATAAATGCTAAAGGCATTGCTCACGCCAAGTCTTCTACTCCACATGTTTGAAACGAGCGGATTTCCCAAAAAAAAAAAAAGAACAGGCGGAAAGTGACAAACAAAATGAGGCAAACTCCTACCGACAGCTCGATAAGCTCGACATATTATCGCGAGTCAAGCTCGAGTTCAAGCTGGGTATTTGACTTGCGAGTCGAGCTCAAACACCCTCTGACTTGAGCTCGACTCAACTCGTTTACACCCCTAATGGTACTATACCCCTTCACAAATCTCCTGCAGTACCCCGTCAACCCCAGGAGCCCCTCAACTCCCTCAAATTCCTGGGTAGAGGTCATTTCAACAATGCCTTAATCTTGGCTCAATTAGTTGCTACTCTTTCCTGGGATAATACGTGCCCCAAATACTCCACACTAGCCTGGGCAAAACAACATTTCTTTAGATTGGCCCTTAATAGATATTCCTACAACACTTCTAAGACCTCCTTTAGATGCTCCAGATGCTCTTCACTGGACTTGCTATATACAAGGATATCATTAAAGAAGACCAGAACAAACTTCCAGAGATAAGGTCGGAACACCTTGTTCATGAGGGACTGAAAAGTAGCAAGAGCATTGGTAAGCCCAAACAACATCAACAAGAACTCATAATGCCCCTCGTGTCTTCTAAAAACTGTCTTTGGAACATCCTATTCTCTCATTCGGATCTGATGTAATCCAAACTTTAGATTCACCTTGGTGAATACCGCCGCGCCACACAACTCATCTATCATAGGAATAGGAAACTTGTCTGGTATAATTTTCTTATCCAGTGCCCGATAGTTCATGCAAAATCTCCAACTTCCTTCTTGACTAATAAAAATGGGCTAGAAAAATGGCTTACGCTTGGCCTGATGATACCAGCCTCCAACATTTCTCGAATCAAATTCTCAATCTCATCCTTTTGGATCTGAGGGAAGCAGTACGGCCTGACGCTGATTAGTGATATCCCCTCCTTCAGCATGTTGGCATGCTGCTGTCCCCACTGTGTTGGCAATCCTTGAGATGGGTCTAAAACCTCCTTGAACTATTGTATAATTGGATGTACTTAAAGAGGGATACCCCCTCCTTCCTCACCTTTGATCCCCTCCAAGATCTGTAGCACCACCAAAAATTCTCCTCCCACCTCCTCTATGTTCCTTACCAGGGTTTTTAGAGATACTATAGCTATGGAGAGTCCTGCATCTCTTTAATCATCCTCCTCCTCCTGTCTACCAACAACTCCATTGTCAACATCCCCCAATTCACCTTGGTATCTCCCAAGGTCTACAGCCATCTCATCCGTAGGATAACATCAGTATTCCCCAGCTCTAATTGGGAGAAAATCCTCACTCACCTGGATCCCCTGGATGCTCAAGACTACCCCCTTACACCTATGCCTCGGTGCGTACTTCTCATCACATCTGAAACATAACCCTTTTGTCCTCTTATCCTGCAACTCCGCCTTTATGAGTCACCTAAAGTTACCCCCTGCTGAATTCCACCGCTCTTCTCCCTAGGAGCTTCTCTCTGGAATGATAGTGTCTGGATCCTGGGTGCTAAAATAGTAGAGGTACTTCGATAGACCCCTCCCATGTTGCTTCTTCTACTGCCCTTTTCCCTCCTAAGTTTTTCCTCCATCCTCTTAGCAAGCTCCATTGTCTCTCTTAGCCCCATAGACCTTAGTACCCTCAGCTCTGCTTGTATGTCCTCCCTAAGCCCCTTCATGAAATTCCCCTCCAGTCCTTCCTCAGAGATTCCCCTCAATCTCCCTGATAACCGCTCAAACTTATCCCAGTACTCCATGACAATCCCCTCCTGAGTTGGGGCATAGAACTGCTCGTGGAGGTCTCCATTATGGATGGTTTGGAAATGTTCCAATAAGCACTCATTAACTTCTTCCCAGGAGTACATCGGATACCTAGCCTCCCTCCATTGAAATTAGGCTAGGGCTTTCCCTTCTAAACATAGACCCGCCGCTATGAGTTTTTGTCCTTCCATCATCCCATTGATGGAGAAGTAATGCTCCACCCGGTATACCCAGCCCTAAGCATCCTCCCCTTCAAAGACCGGCATCTTAAGGTTCCTTTCCCTCCCATCCATACCCCCTTGGTTTCCCCAACCATGCCCTTCTTCATTCCACCTTTCCCCATGCCCGAAAAATCTCCCAAAAAGGGTTGAATCCCTCCTCCTTACTATCCTCCCCTCGAAATAACCCAATCTGCCAACTAGCAGGACTCCTCGTAGTGGTCCTTGATGGAAAACACTCACTAATTCATCGTCGTCCTCTCGGATCTCCTTTCCTCATGATTCCATCGTAGGAATCGCCGACGATTCTTTCGCTTGCATCTCCATCATCTTTTTCATCATCTCCTCGATGTTCTCAAAGCAATTTTTGATGGCCGAGAGTCTTCCCTCCACCCCGAATATTTTTCTTCAACTCCGGCTTTGAGTTGTTCCATCTCGCCCTCCAATGCATCCATCTTCTTTGCTGCCATTGATTGGATCGATGTTTCAATCGCAAAAACAACTAAAAAAGATTATTTGTTTCCTCCCAAGAAAGAGCTCTAATACCACTTTGATAAGAAACTCTTGTAAAATTCAAAAGTAAACCTAACAATGATTGATTTCAACGATTTGCCAGCATAATTTTGAAAGAAAAACTAAAGTAAGTAGCACAAACAACATAATATTAGATGAACTCTTAAAGAACAAAACAAGATACAGTTGATCCTCAATTCGAGAGGAGGATCTATCTCTCATACTTCTCTAAACGTCGCTAGAGCAAAAGCACACAAAAACACAAGAATAAATTCATCACAATAACAAGAAACCCCAACCCTAACCCCTCTCCTCTATTTGTAGCAAACAAAAAATAATCTCAATTGCTAATTAGCCCCTTTACTAAATCATATCATACCTAAAACAGCCACCAATCGCCCCCCCCCCCCCCCCCCCCCCCCCCCCC